GTAGTGCCTTCTCAAGGTGCATCCTGCATGGGGGCACAGGGCTGGGGCCGTTGCCCTGGGTCAGTCCCTGCCTGGTGCCAGCATCTCTACCTTCTGGGCACACCTGGCCATGTGTTTTCTAGGAGAGTGTGTTTTATCTTAGCTTTCTCCCCAGGTGAGAGGGTGGGGAGGGTACTGTGGTCAGCACCTTTCAGAGGCGGAGATGGGCAGAGAGGGCAGCGGGGACCAGAGAGCACACGCCATTCAGGGTCGACGGCCGTGTGGTCTCCGCCCGCTCGTGATGGTGCCCAGCCTCTCCCCCACTGTCGGCCCGAGGGGGTCCTGGGAGAGTGTGTTATAAGTCAGAGATGTTTGTATTGGTTGTGATGGTGTAGGAGAATGCCCTTACTAGGAAATTCATGGGGAAGTACTTGGTGGGTGTTGTTTGTAAGGGACTTTCAAATGGTTTATAGGGAAAATCTGTGTGTATGTATATACCTACACGTGTATGTATACAGATAGATGTATGTGTATACAGAGAGAGCAGGAGAGTGTCAATGCAATAGTGTGTTAACAACTGTGATGTCTCCGTGAAGTCTGTGCAGATGTTCATTGCACTGCTTCTTCACGTTTTTCCCTAGCTTCGTGATTCTTCAAAGGAAGAAGGATTGGGGCTGGCGGGAGGAGGTGATGTCTCTGCCCAGCAGGTGTGGCCCACTGTTGGGAAAATGTCAGGCTGGTCCTAGCAAGATCACCTTCTCCTCTAGAGCACTCTCTTCTTGGGTGAGGGCTGCCTTCTGCTGCTTTTGGGGGTGCAGAGGGAGCATCCGTTTGTGATTATTCCTTTTTCAGAAAATCTGTAAATCTCCAGTGGTCAGAGGAAGGGTTTGGCAGGGGTTGGCGGGCTATTTCTGTAGTGCCTTCTCAAGGTGCATCCTGCATGGGGGCACAGGGCTGGGGCCGTTGCCCTGGGTCAGTCCCTGCCTGGTGCCAGCATCTCTACCTTCTGGGCACACCTGGCCATGTGTTTTCTAGGAGAGTGTGTTTTATCTTAGCTTTCTCCCCAGGTGAGAGGGTGGGGAGGGTACTGTGGTCAGCACCTTTCAGAGGCGGAGATGGGCAGAGAGGGCAGCGGGGACCAGAGAGCACACGCCATTCAGGGTCGACGGCCGTGTGGTCTCCGCCCGCTCGTGATGGTGCCCAGCCTCTCCCCCACTGTCGGCCCGAGGGGGTCCTGGGAGAGGAGCAGTGATGCTCTGCGTATGTCACAGGGGCTGTGTGCAAGGTGCGCCTGCGCAGATGTGTGGACGTTTCTTGCCTGGTTTGCATCTTACCTTCACAGCGCAACGCTTCTACACTCTGTGTCTCAAACCCCACCCAGAGGCATCCGGCATCCTGTCCCCTGCCTGTCCCTCCTCCCACCTCCTCTTCCTTTGCAGGAATAGCTGTTTTAGAGGAGGAGGGAGCTAACAGTTGGTGTTGTATCTCGAAATACTGACAGTAAACCCAGACAACAAATATGTTTCTATGTAACAACCATGCATGTATGTGGGTTTGTATTTGTATATGTATATTATATGTATCTGTATGACCCTGGACCTGTAGATGTGTATGTATAGGTATATGTGTGTGTATTTTAAAATATACGATACAAAAGTTTTATCAAACTTTACACTTACTCTTAGATGTTTATTAATATGCTCCCTTCTGTAAAGAGACGTTGCTGGTTGGTGCCTCCTATATTGATTTCACAATTTACAGATTGAAAAATGGATTAACATGAATGACATAAAAAAATCTAGTAAACAGTGGATCAGGAGTCTGAAACCAGTTCTGTCTGTGTACTGTGTGTGTTTCATTAGATGAGTGTATATGTGTATTTGCATGTGTTTCTGTGTGTGGGTCTAGTCGTGTGTGTGTGCCAGCCTGTGTGTACATCTGCATTTGTATTTGCAGTGAATGCACGGTAGCCACAGGCCTGTGGTCCTTGGTACTTGTTTCTCTCCTCCTTCGGGGCGAGGCCCTGTCGGAGCTGTGGGTGTGTTGTCTTTGGGGCCTGAGCTTTGGCGTTCTCTCTCCCTAAAGTACTGTGATTTCAGCCCAGGACAGGGTGGTTGTGTGGTGAGCTGGGAAGGGAACCTGGAGGACAGTCTGCATCCCAGTGAAACTACAAGCAGACCAGGTTTTTATGTCCCACGAGGGGCTCTGCACTGGGGAGCCCATTTGTCATGCCCTGAAATCCCGAGGACAGAGGAGCCTGGCAGGCTGCCGTCCATGGGGCCGTGAAGAGTCGGACACGACTGAGGGATTGAGCACACACTAATCTTGCCGAATGAGCAGCGGTGTGTGCAGGTGTGACGTGTGCGGGAACCACAGATGTGCTCACTGGTGGCTCTCCCCCAAGCCTGGGCTGGGGCCAGGGTGTCCGTGGGCAAAGTACGGCCAGCCTGTGTTTCAAGTTTCATACTTTCGAATGGAGGATCACTGTCTGGTGGTGTTATGGGTCAAGGTGTCATCAGAACTTTAATTACTGTTGAGGCAGCCTAGCAGATGTGTGCCTGCTTTGGTAGGACTTTTCATTCTCCCAAGTTCAAGGGTTTGTCCTGTTCAATTTTCCAATCAGTAGAATAGCAGTAGGAGTAATGATAATAAAATCAGCAATAATAACAACAAACTCTTACTAGAAGCTTGTGTCTGTGTGTGTGTGTGTGTGTGTGTGCGCGTGCGTGCGTGCGTGCTAAGTTGCTTCAGTCGTGGCTGACTCTTTTCCACCCTTCTGGACTGAAGCCTGCCAGGCTCCATTGTCCATGGGATTCTTCAGGAAAGAATACTAGAGTGGGTTGCTGTGCCCTTCTCTAAGGGAATCTTCTTGACTCAGGGATCGAACCCAGGTCTCTTATGTCTCCTGCACTGGCAGGCTGGTTCTTTCTTTACACTAGCACCATCTGGGAAGCCCTACAATGAGGTCAACTCAGTGTTAAGTGCTTTTGTGTATTTTTTCCTTTATTCATTGCATGGGTGCATGCTCAGTAGCTTCAGTTGTGTCCGACTCTTTGCAACCCCATGGACTGCAGCCCACCAGGCTCTTCTGTCCATGGGATTCTCCAGGCAAGAATACTGGAGTGGGTTGCCACATCCTCTTCCCGGGGACCTTCCGGACCCAGGAATCAAACCCACATCTCCTGCAGCTCTTGCATTACAGGTGGATTCTTTACTGCTGAACCAGTGGGAAGCCCCTTCTTTTTTCATTCATAGAGGGTAAACTCTGTAGTTTGTTGCTTTCATCATTCCCTTCTTTTCCACATGTGGTCGGTGGCATATATTTCACTATTCATCTTGGAAAAACTCAAACCTGCCAACCAGTATCAGAGGGAGAATTACTAGCTCATCAGATTCAGTATATCAAAATGAACCTGGTGACAAAATGGAATGTAACTCACAGACTACACCTGGAAGTAACATGTGACTCTCTCTGGCAAGGCCCAGAGTGAACAATCAGAAAACTATTCATCCATTCTCAGGCTGAAGTTGAAAAGGTAAATGAGCCTATGCTTGGAGTTCCTATATTGCATCTTCAAACTGTCCTCTTGCCTTTCTGAACTGAATACTTAGGCTTATTCGTGTGTGTGAGGTAAGTTGATCCGGTCGTGCCCGACTTTGAAACCCAATGTATTATATAGCCCACCAGGCTCCTCTGTCCATAGGATTCTCCAGGCAAGAACACTGGAGTGGGCTGCTGTGCCCTCTTCCAGGGAATCTTCCTGACCCAGGGATCGAACCTGCATCTCTTATGTTTCCTGCATTGGCAGGTGGATTCTTTACCAGTATCACCATCTGGGAAGCCCTTATAGGCTCGTAAAATACTCGAATTTCCCACTCCTCCCTTTGTAGCCCCACACTCCCGTTTTCTTTTAGATCCTCCCATTAATAGAAACACTCACTTTGTGTCTATTTTTCAAAATAATTTGGTACTAAAATGTTTCCTGTGGATTGCTTTCTAGGGCATGCTGATTTTTCCTACGTGCAAAACATTTTAATATATTGAAGTTACATGCACTGTTGATAACTATATGAAAAATATAGTGGAGTGTTTTGTCTCTGATTCATGACTCAACAGCTTAAAAAATGTTAGTGAATTATTTAAAATAATACTAATCTCTTAGAGTCATGAAAAGATTCTTAAACCACCTTGGCAAGGGCCTAGGACCACCCAACATCCCAGAGTAATGAGCTTACCGTCATCCTCAACCCACAAGTGTTAAGCAGCTGTTTTACAGAGCTGTTCAGCTGGGGGCTTTGCACGCGGACCCTGTGTCCTGTGGATCGCCTTCATTTGACAGTTGAGGCCAGAGAGCTGAACACGGGCACTGGCATGTGTTACTAGGACTCCAGTGCAGAGTTTTGTAAAGGCGGAGACTGTGCCGTCTGAGGATGGCGGTCGTAGCATCCCCTGGTGTTTGGGAAGGTTGTAACTGATGTCAGAAAACGAGGCCTGAAGGTGTCATCAGCAGAGGACAACTTAAGGCCCCCTAACAGAAATAGCACCTACGGCAGACGTGTGCCTCTAGGGGAGGAGGTCCCGAGGTTCCAGAAGCATTCAGGAAAGACTTGCAGAGGACCGTCAGCGTGGGCAGACCCTGAATGCTGGAAGGGATTTGGGTGAGGGAGCGGGGACTGTATATAGACATATGGACAAGTGCCTGGAGGAGACAGGGAGACCAGTTTTCAGGGCCAGTGAGAACTGGACAAAATGCCTTCTCACAGTACGGTTAACCCCCTAAACAGCACAGGTTTGAATTGTGTGGGTCCACTTACACACGGATATTTTCAGTAGTGACTGTTACATACAGGACTGCATGGTCCATGATTGGTTAAATTCAAGGATTCCGGGGAAGCACAGATACCAGGGTTTGACTCTATACGATTAACCCCTTCAAGTTGTTCAAGGGTCAGCTGTACGTCACATCAACCCATTTTCTTGCTCCAAATTATCATCCATTTTTAGGGAAAACCAGTGAGAATCAGATGAAATTATTGAATTTTATTTCCAAGAAGTGGAATTGTTACTTTTTAGACTAGGCATTTTTTTGTCAGATACCTAGCTCCACGCCTTCTACCATGAAGACCACACTCCACACAGGATGCATGGTCTGCATCTCTCTGCTGCCCCTCCACGCCATCCATCGGTCCATGTTTACCAGCTTCCACAAGAGAGGGAGGCAAGGCTGATGAGAGTGGGACTCAGGCCCCAGGTCAGTTCTGCCCCCAGTTGCTGAGAAAGTCATCTAATTTCCTCCTCTGTCAGTGGAGACGCTAAGCATTATGTCATGGGTTATTGTGAAGTTACGCCGAGATCCTGGCTACACAGGCTGTGACATGCCCAGAATTATGACTCTGCTCAGCGGTGATTCATAAGTAGAGGTTCGTTCCCTATTGATGGCACCCTGTGTGCAGACGGATTCTTCAGAACAGTAAGAGAATCTTACATTAGAAACTGGTGTTGGGGATCATTCATGAAGAAAACTAAAAGGACGGTGTTTAATTATCCAATAAATGAGGCTCAGCATGAGTTGGGGGAGTGGGGGTGCTAGGCAGGCAGAAGGGTGGTCTTTCCCAGCCTATGAACACCAGCAGCTTTGATAAGCTCGCCAGATACTTTTGGGTGGAAAGTAGGAAGTACCACAGAATCACATTTCTTTTTTTCCCATGATTGTGGGCTGGTCTTCATGAATATCATTCTTCAAAGCCAGTCCTTTCTTGCAGAATTACTGGGTATATTTGTGAAAAGTGTTACTAGTGTCTTTTTCAGTGTCTGTCCTTCTGAGGTATTTTTAAAGAGATGGACTGGATTGACTCACAAACCTTGACTGATCTTGTTGGTGTTTCTGCTGTGTCTTCCCTGATGTGGCAGGCAGGGTTGCTTATCATCTTCTAATCTCTATGGTAGATTTTCTTGAGTCTCTGTTTATATTATATATAATATTTCTTTCATTGCAACAATCCACGATCTCCCTGTGCTTCCGAAGCCCCATGTTGCCCAGAAGCATTTCCATCACAGATCAAGTTCACAGTCTACTGTATTTCCCCATCACAGTCATCTGTCTCCTTCCAGAAATCCTTGCCCACTGGTGCCACCAGATCCAGACCTCACTGGATGATACAGCAGTAATGGCATTATTTCAGGCTTCGGACCTTGCATAGATGCGTGTGGGAGTTACATGAACCTCCCAAGACAACCAAGGTCAAGTAGGAGGGAACTTTTCTAAAACAAAGGGGACTCCAGGTTTTCACCAGATCGCTGTTTATTGTGTAAGCAGCAGCTTAATTCAGGAGAAGAGATGCAAAAAACCTCACCTAATTAGAGAAAGCAGAGGAGAGTCAAAGTTGAAATATGTGCTGTTCATTGGAGCATCCCTGGAGTTGGAGCAGGACCGAAACCACCAAGAGGAAAGAAGCAGCTCCTTTCCTGTGAGCCAGCCCTGGAAATTACAGGGCAGAGGAAGGGGGCAGATGACCAAATAGAGGAGACAAGGATGGTGGTTTGAGGACTTCCCTGGCTGTCCAGGGTTTAAAACTGCACACTGCTAATGCAGGGGTTCGATCCCTGGTGAGGGAACTAAGATCCCAAATGCCATGTGGCACAGCCAAAAAATATATTTTTTTAAATTTTTAATTAAAAAAAAAATAATGGGGGTTTGGGCAGACTGAGCAAGTATTCAGAATGCAGAAACCAGAGTGGTGAGAAATGGCCATGTTAGACTGAGGGGACAGGAGGACAGGATGTGGATGTGGGCGAGGATATGGTCAGAGGATGAAAGTGTGAGAATAAAAGAGAAAATTAACCTAGAAAAACTTCAAGCACAGCACCTTAGCTCTAGAAGTAGGATGTTATTGGTCTTTGAACCCTGGGCAACTTCTGAAAGTGACCGAACCATTCATCAAGAGGCAGGAGAAGGCATCCTTCATTTCAGCAAACGTCTGTGGCTGGCTTGGTGTGTGCTGGTGTCACATGCACGCCCAGTGCATGGTAAGGCTGAATAACTGTCAAACATCAGAGTTTGGAACAGAGACAGGTTGCAGTGCCGTGAAGTGAGACCAGTGGCTCGTGCCCAGATAACCCTGGACTCCCCAAAGCTTTCAGCAAAGCCCTTTTCTAGTAAAGCTGAGGGAGGGGCATGGTTAGTTGCAAACTTCTTGGTGGTAGAGCCTTTGTCCTTGAGGTCAAGTCATGGTCAGGTAGCAAAGGTTCCTTCACGTCTCCGCTAAAACACATATTATTCTGTTCTGACGAGTAAGGGCAAGGTCCAAAAGCTGCGCTTTCACGGTCCAAGGTCCAGGTCCTGGCTAAGAGGAGGGGGTTCCCACGGGGTCGGTTACCCAGCCCTGGAGTGTTTATCTAGCATCCAGTCTGGATCCTCTCCCGGTGCCGATCAAGTGGCAGGTCTCAGCAGGCAGAGTCCTCAGCAGCAGGCACCCGGACCCCGCCCAGCCATCATCACTGAGGGAGCCGGGCGCCCAGTACCCAGCCGACCCTCAGGCTCCTTTGTGACCCACGGAGGTGGGGGTGGGGGAGAGGTTCACCCCTGCCTCAAGGCCGGGGTCCGGCACTGGCCATGGCAATCTGGAGCCCGCAGGACAAGCCTGGCCCCGGGCTTCCAGCTCACCCGCCGGCCCAAGTTAGGGTCCTGGGGAGAGGCCCTATTCTCCTCTCACCGCCCTCCTGACTGACCACTGCTGAGACGACCTCTGCGCACCCCACTTCCGGTCTCGTGCCAGCGGTCTCTCGTGATCGGTCTCACATGAACAATCTCGCGTGAACTGTTTGCAAGCTAACTGTCTGGCGATAACGGCCGTCCTCTGACGGTTGGTTCCCGGCCGCCCTCAGGAACACAGCTCGGCCCTCGAGGAGCCGCGAGCCTCGGAGGGAAGGGAGTCAAGACACCCGGATTCTAAGTCCTTCCAGCGGCCCCACGGTGAGGACATTGCCGCAGGCATCCAGGGATACTTTCTAACCGAACCTGAGAGAAGGTGCGGCGGCTTCCAAGACGTCTAACCCCGGGGGAATCAGCGAGTCGTCTGAAGGGGCCAGGCCGGTGGCGACCTTCTCTGACCCACGGAAACAGGCCTTGGGCAGACTTGGGGTCAGCCCTGCACTCAGGGCTGACACTTGTTGCGAGCACAGACGTGTCCCCCAACCCCCCACCGCCTACTTTGTCACAAGCACCGAGCAGCTCCTTTGCGGCCCCAGTAGTCATGGCAGCAGGGGAAGATGTCTCCTTCAGGCCCACTCCTCCACTCCCCACCAGCACCCTCACCGCAGTGCTGGGAAGAAGGCCCCCAGGGGTGGGACCTTCCGGTCAGGAGCCTGGGACTAACCACCTGTCGTCTAGTGCGGGACACTGTTCCTGTCTTTCTTTGTCACTGTTTTTTTCATTACCCTCTTCACCCTCTGACACCAGCAGGGATGCTCCATCAGGGCAGGAACCATTTATATCAACTATTCTGTACTCAGCACCTTAGAAGAGGGCAGGGCAGGCGGCAGGCACTCAAAAAATATTCACTGACAATGAACGAATTGAAATTGGAATAAGGGCTTTCCCGATGGCTCAGCAGTGAAGAATCAGCTTGCAGTGCAGGGGATGCAGGAGGCGTGGGTTCGATTCTGAGTCAGGAAGATTCCCTGCAGGAGGAAATGGAAACCCACTCCAGAATTCTTGCCTCGAGAATCCCACGAAAAGTGGAGCCTGGCGGGCTACAGTCCATAAGGTCACAAAAGAGTTGGACTTGACTAATCAACTGAGCATGTAATTGTAGTAATTGCTAGACTATCCCCTAAACCTTGTCCTACTATATTTGTTTTTTTGGGATAGTTCTTCTGAGCCTTTGAAGACAGTCATCTTCAGATTCAATAGTTTCATTGAATAGTTTCATTCAGATGATCGTTCAGATTTCTTAGAGCCCTTAAACATTTCTGGGTCTTGCCGAAGAGAGTTACTTCTCCTGGATGTGGACCCAGGCCTTGCAGTCCCATGGACTGTAGCCTGCCAGGCTCCTCTGTCCATGGAATTCTCCAGGCAGGAATACTGGAGTGAGTTGCCATTCCCTTCTCTAGGGGATCTTCCTGACCAAGGGATTGGACTCGGGTCTCCTGCATTGCAGGCAGATTATTTACCATCTGAGCTAACAGGGAAGCCCAAGACCAGGATAATTTAATACAGATTTCCGTTTGTTAAAGGCTTTCCTCTTATTTCTTGGTAATGGGTTTCCTGCTCAAATGCACAAGTGACATCCCAGGAGCCCAGGTCAGTCCTCAGCACTGACTTCTAAACTGTCTTCATGTTGATGGATCATTGTCCCCGTAGGGAGTACTCAGCCTCACAGAGTTCATGGTACCCTTACCTGAAGCATCTAATTTATGTAGAAACAGCAATAGGTTATTTAGGAGGGCATTTTTGCTGATTTTGGCAATTCCAGAGCAACTGGGAAAAAGCAGAGGGACGACTGTGCAAGTCCAGGACGATGATGGCTGCTTACTCAGGGATGAGACGAGGAGGTTGAATGGATGCTATGTGATTCCACAACGATCATGCCTTGAACTTTAGATGTTTCATTTCAGGGTGAAAGCAATTGGTTAGAAATTAATAAAACGGAGGTGATTTCATCTACCCGGGATTGGCTTATGATTTCTAGAATGTTTTACTTAATTTCTGTTTCACTGCAGAGATCATTGTTCTAGTAATTTCATAATGTACCCTTTGATTATTTCATTGTCTCTTTGCAGTGGGCAATTAGCCTTCTGTGTCCTGGAATTAGTGTCAGACAATAATATGTTTTATAGAATGTGTATGATGACTTATTTCAGTGCCTAAATATTTAGAAAACTAAAAGAATTGGAGGGGGGTTATTTTCAGAATTTTGAGCTGGATAATATCTTGAAGATATTGGACATAATATATTGCTTTTCGTTGCATTCTGGCATTCCCCAAAATATAATTGGCAAGTTCATTCTTAGACACAATCCATTTAATTAAAATTCTCATGGTAACTTTCATATGCAGCAAATGAATTTTCTCTGAAAGGATTAAACATCTCAGCTTTGAAGCTGGATGAGTGATTATTATAAAAGCTAAATTAATACAATTTGACCTAATTTCAAGACAGTGACAGTAACATAAGTAGCCTTATAAGAGTGGCTTTTATTGTAAATATGTAAGTTTACAATGCGTGATTCTAAAATAGTCTTTTTTACTGTATTCCAGAAGGTATGGTCAAATGCATGCCTTCCATGAGAACTTTTACCTTTTTAATAATTTTATTTGCTTTTGGCTGTGCTGGGTCTTCATTGCTGTGTGGGCTTTCTCTAGTTGTGTGTGGCGAGTGGGGGCTACTGTCTAGTTGCAGTGTGTGGGCCTCTCATTGTGGTGGCTTCTCTTGTTGGGGAGCACGGCTCTAGTGTGTGCAGGCTTTAGTAGTTGCAGCGTGTGGGCTCAGTAGTTGAGGCTCCCAGTCTCTGGAGCATAGGCTCAGTAGCTGTGGCATGTGGTATCTTCCCAGGCCAGGGATGGAACCAGTNCTCTTGTTGGGGAGCACGGCTCTAGTGTGTGCAGGCTTTAGTAGTTGCAGCGTGTGGGCTCAGTAGTTGAGGCTCCCAGTCTCTGGAGCATAGGCTCAGTAGCTGTGGCATGTGGTATCTTCCCAGGCCAGGGATGGAACCAGTCACCCTGAATTGCAAGGTGGACTCTTAGCTACTAGACCACCAGGGAATTCCATAATTTTTATCTTTAATCAGGTGATATTGAGCCTGCACTGCTTTATTCATCTATTTATTTATTCAACAGATAATTTATTGAGTATCTATTATTTACCAGTTACCCTCTAGTTGTCTGGGCTTCTCTGGTGGCTCAGCTGGTAAATAATCCACCTGCAATGCAGGAGACCTGTGTTCGATCACTAGGTTGGGAAAATCCCCTGAAGAAGGGAAAGGCTACCCACTCCATTATTCTGGCCTGGAGAATCCCATGGACTGTATAGTCCATGTGGGGTGGCAAAGAGTCGAACGTGACTGAGCGACTTTCACTCTAGTTGTTTAGATCCATGTTAGGAAGATAATAAGTGAGTGAATGTATAATATCAAGTAAAGATGTAAAGAAAAATAAGGTATGGGGTTAAAGTGCAACGTTCATAGGAGATCGGGGCGGGAGAGGCTCTCTCACCTGAATGGGGGAAGGGTGGCCATAGGTCATTAGGGGTCCAGAGTGTACTCACCGGTGCAAGGCTTTGGGTTTTATTTTGAATGAAGCTGGGAAGTGTTGGATCAGAGAAGCAACAAGATCTGCCTGTGCTCTCAATACCTGCTCACTAAATTATAAACCTCCAGGCAACATAAGAAGGAATCATGTCCAGGTCAGGATGGAGCCTCAGAAGTCACATGAGCAGATACCCAGTGGGCGTGGGACCAGGAGAAGCGGGAACCAGGACTGGCTTCCTCTGTCCTTGGCCCTCATCCTCTCTGGGCCAACCCACCACCCTCTTTGCTTCTCCCGCTAACCTGCTCACTCCTCCGTATCCACCGTAAATATGGCCCTGCCTTGTCACCTGCCCTGCCCACCAGCCTCTCAACTCATCACCTGCAGGACTCAGAGACAAACACACCATCTGTCATCGATTTTCATGCAACCAGAGATCACTTCTCCACTTTCTAAATACATGGCCTTCAACAGGTTGCCTTATGCATCGGACTGCAGTGTCCTCACCAGTAAAATGGGGCAAGAAGCCCACCCTCCTCAAGGGGCAGATTAAGCAAGAAGATGTTATGAGGCTTGGTGCACACTGACTGTGTGAGATGCCCTGTGAACATTGCTGCCACCATCACACTCCTGTGTTTGCACCCTATTTCATACATGTGGTCTTGTTTTGCATATGATATCACGTGTATTGGTTCTATTCTACTGTAAAATCTTCAAGAGTAGGAGCCGGGGCTTAGAATTCCTTATATTCTACACATAGCATTGGGTGGGCGGTGGCGGCCCTCAGTTTTCTGCTGGCTGGTCAGCTGCTTGTGCACCAGCCATTTCCCCTGCCACCCCGCTTTCCTCACCATGAGCCCTCCAGCTTGCACAGCCTCAGAGTCATGCCTGCCGGATGATGGCCCTGTTCCAGACTCTTTGACCCCCTACTGAGTATTTCTCATTATCTGCAGACACTTCTATGGATGCGTGTCTTCCCAGACTCAAATTTAGTGCATCTCAAACTTGTCTCCTCTAAATGTCCATTTCTCCTGAATTCATCATTTGGGGAGCACAGCTTCCATTAATCTCTGTCCGTCAGTCAAGAGGGCTTTGTAAATTATTCCCTTTCCCTCAGACTTTCCTGAGGGTGTCCCACCTGGACAGACTCATCAGCCCCTGACCCAGCCTAGAGGTACTCACTGCCCACCACCCTTGCACACTTCGGCCAGGGGATATTTATAAGCAGAGAGGGTAGTTCTTCAAAATGTTGAGGGTGAAGGGTGGGTGCTGTGGAGGGCAGGTCAGTGACTTGATTTAGGGGTTCTCTGAGTGAAGCACATCTAACGGTCACCTTGGTGTGACCAGAGTCTCACCAGAGTCTCAGTGGCCAGAGGAGCCAGCAGTGTCCCCCAACTCCCCCATGACAGTATTCCTCCTTAATTGTTACTGAATGCAAGTTCCTGCGCCCAGCACACAGTGGGGCTAAACAAACTGATGTTTGGAGCCAAGAAAGGTTTATTGCAGGGCCATGCAAGAAGATCTGTGGCTTGTGCCCTGCAAACCCCAGAGCTCCCCAGAGGGTTTCAGCACAACTTTTAAAGACACAGTGAGGGAAGGGATGTAGTTGGTTGTTACAAACTTCTTGATGTCAAAATCCTTTGTTCTTACAACTACGCTCCTAGGCCAGCTCACCATGTTCCTGTAAACCTCCAACAAGACAAGTGTTATTCTCTGTTCTGCAACTTTTTATGTCTGTATGAATGAACTCTTACCTGTGAGGTTCCTGAGAATGGACTGTCCTGTGTATTTAAGGCTGCGCTGTGCTTAGTCGCTCAGTCGTGTCTGACTCTTTGCGACCCCATGGACTGCAGCCCGCCAGGCTCCTCTGTCCATGGGGATTCTGGAGTGGTTGCCATGCCCTCCTTCAGGGGGTCTTCCCAACCCAGGGATCAAACCCAGATCTCCCACATTGCAGGCGGATTCTTTACCATCTGAGCCACCAGGGAAGCCCATTTCAGGCAGTAGGCAACATACTTTTACAAAAAGTGCTAGCCAGCATGACTCAGCACAGGCAGTATAACAGATCCAGCATGGAGTCAGATCTGTTCTTCTCTGTTACAGTATCCATGGAAGGAAGCCTGGTTGTTTGTTAAAGCCCCCGAGGTGCCATATCAATAAAGGTACTTTTTTGGTAGATGTTCATCTAAGAAGTAATATCTGTAAGTAATTTAGCTGAGCAAAGGCCTCCATTGATTAACTTTTCTTTCTTTTATTAACTCCGCTTCTAAGAAGCAAGTGACAATAAAGCAGCTCCTGTGAGCTATTTTGTGTGGATAGAGAGTGGCTTCACGCCCTTCCTCACTTCTCTCTGGCTAGACTCCATTTCCGTGAAGGCTCCAGGGAGGCAGAGGGGTCCTCTGTCTTCCAGGATGGGTT